AACGTATCCTGAAAATAAGAAGATGAAGTGTAACTGGTTTGCGTACTTTTATTTTTAAGCCAAAAATCTAAGGTAAAGAACGGCCTAATCCCATACTACAGGGAAGGTTACGCTACGTAAGATCAAGTGATCTCTTAAGCACTACTCATCTCTAGCAATACTGTTCTGTGAACATATATTTACGCTTACTACTATCTCGAACTGTTTACTACTACTATCTCAAACATTCCAAGGCCTCTTTTCGTATTTTTCGTTTCACGTTGTCATAGGGTATTATAATCGGCCGAGTTGCTATGGTAAAAGATTTAGTTTTGAATTAAATACATATCCAACTAAGAGCTTTGATATGGCGAGCATCAAGCTCAACAACTCGTTGTTCGTAATATGAAATTCCCTCATTTCAAATCGTAGTCCAGCAATATATCGCCAGTAATTGATTTGATACATAGCCAACTATCGTAGTCAACTAAATAAACTTGAACTGTCCAACAAAGTACTAAAGAATTTTATTCTAATTTATGTAATATGACTAGATGAGACGAAAGGAAGAATTAGGAAATTTGAGATAATAATGATTAGAAATATGTGTTTGTTGTCAAAGCAGTATCTTTGAGACTAAGTGGTGCATCGAGAAATTACTTCATATTTATACGAAGTGAAATTTAACTTTGCAATATGCTAGGGTTATATTTACCCAATCACGTTCATGAGTACGGGTTAATCGTTTCCTGGAATAAGTTTTACCCTCAAGAGTGTACCCTTAGAGTCGTTGATGATTGCGGGTTAGTCGCTCTCAGGGGATAAGTCTTACCCTCAAGGGTGGATTTCACCCTCAAAATTAAGCTACCCTGTGCTGCATGAATACGGGTAAGGTATACCCCAGGGTTCGTTGATGAATACAGCCACTGAAGATGCGGTTCAGAAATGTCTAAAGGCTTGCGCTGTTGGAGACGACTATTTACGAGCAATGAGGAGAGATTTAAAAAGGCTAACAAGAGAAGCAGGAGGAAGACGACAACTTGCAGTCAGGGCCAGGCACCGATGGTTTGGGGTCAAACTGAGCTTTTTGGGGTAAAAGCAAAGGGGGCATCGTAAAACCTGCTGAACATACATTATAAGGACCTCCTGATATGCTGACCATCAAGTTTGATAAACGGATGACATGTTCTGACTTTTTCATTCTCATCAAGCGCGCCAAATTCAAAATGCTCTAATAAACAAATGTGTTGTCTACAGTGCACCAGAAATCACATAACACCAATCTTGGGTTGTGTGTATACAATGTTACTCCAAACTAGGTTATGTAAAAACCGAAATTTATGTGGCCTAATACCTGTTTCCGAGTTCGTTGGTTTCTAGACCATCACCAAACCAACTGAACTGGTTCGGAGCATAAATAATGGAGATCTCATATAAGTTTTAAAACGTTTGAGAATCTGTCGTGTAGTGGAGAGAGCAAATCAAACCATTGCTTCTCTATTTGAGCCAAAGATAGTATAAATAAACCCATTGATAACTATGATGTATTCCTGCCAGGGCGTCCTCTAATCTGGCGACAACTGTTGTCTTTGTTTGTTGTTTCGAATTGTTGTTGTTTTTAATACTTTTACGTCACTTTCATTTCCGTCATTTTACTTTGTGAAAATTTGCGAAGTCATGAGGGACTTCGCTTTCAAAAATCCTCCAAACCAACGCAGGCCGGGCCCTATGTGCAATATGTCTAATAAACACGAAGGATGGTCAGAGCGTTTCCGAGAATTGCTAATATATTATGATCAGAGTAACTCGTTCAAACAGTCTGCTGCCTTAGCTTTGTTTACATCCGTTTAAAAGGAAGATGACATGTGAAAATGGAGAAAGACTTGATATTATCCAGATTCGATTGATGAGATTTGTTTCCTCTTCGATCTTTACAAACTTTCTTTCACGCCTTCCACCTGACTAACAGACCTTCACATAATTCCTAGGGAGTCCTCACAGAAACTATGTTTTCTCCTGTAAATTTTTCCGCCGTAGTCGCCAATAGATTTTCAATGATGCGGCAGTAGCTTGAATAGGCGAGCTACTCAGTCGGGTCCCAAAACCATTATGCTGCGAAAGTTTTATTCTATTAGGTTGTCCCGGAAGTTTTGTCCGTTTTTCAAATCACTAAACCCACGCAGGATAAAGATCTGAAAGAGTTTCAACATGCATTTAATGCAGCTTTTCCTTTTCTTTCTTATGGATACATTTTCGAACCACAACCTTGTATGCTTTTTTTGATGATTGTCCACCCGTCAATTTGATCTGCTCAAAGTTAGACTTTTCGAAAATTTCATTCCAAAGTTTCGGAAAGGGTTAAGTATGAATCAAATAGAGCAATGCAACTACAAGGTAATATTTTTAGATTCTCCTAATCTGCTGTTTTTAGCTTCAAAAAAATTTTTTTCAAACGTCTCGATTTTAGCAAAGTCATGAAACACGCAACTGCAGCAAATACATAAACGCTTTCAAGTTTCTGCGAGTTGAAACATGATTCTTACTAACCATTACTTATGCAACATCAAGTTTGATTTGTTAAAAAAAAGCAGCGTTATGACATTTTCGGTACTTTTACGTGGTAAACGTAATTAAAAAGTCGCGGTTTCTATCAAATAAATAAATACAGGGTGTCCCAAAAGTATGTATCGAACGTTTGATCGTTAATAACTCTCTTCCCAAGAAGTCTTTTGCCTTGCTTCAGGTACCGTTTTGTAGAGCTGGCTTCAACTTAGATTTGCAGTATAGAACGAATCACTCATTTCTCTTCATTACTGTAGGATTACGGTAGAAACTTCAAGGAGGGTTTTAAGCAATGAAAGGCCATATTTTGCCCCAGAAAGGAAACAAAACAGCCTTAAAACTTTTACACTAGGCTAATTAGAGTTGCTGATTATAACTGTAAAGTTCCCAACTTATTATGATGCTTCATTGAAGAGTTATGCCAGGTAAGAAGTAGCGGCCATTTTTTCAATGTTCCTAAAAAGTGGGACTGCACCGTTTAGAAAGCTTCGTAATCTTGTGAATAGTTAATTATTGAACTCAGCGTCCATAAAAACCCTATTACACAAGTTTTCACGATTTTTTGAAAAATTTTGAAACGGCAGCTTTTTTCACATTAACACCATATGTTTCAAGTTTCTACCGTAATCCTACAGTAATGAAGAGAGATGAATGATTCGTTCTATAGTGCAAATCTAAGTTGAAGCCAGCTCTACAAAACGGTACCTAAAGCAAGGCAAAAGACTTCTTGAGAAGAGAGTTATTAACGATCAAACGTTCGATACATACTTTTGGGACACCCTGTATAACGGACTTGTAAACGTGGCCCATGGTTATCAGCGCTCTTTGAAAACATCAGAATAAGAATTTTTAGGAATCAGAAAAGATTTAGCGTTACTGCTGAAATGCTCAAAAAGCCATTGCGATAACATTGCAAAGACAGGGTAGATCGAAGAGCAAATACAGCTGTAAGAGGATAAAAATCTGAAAAAAAAATGGTACCTAAGTCCGTCCATGGATTGTTCTGTGAATTTTAGTGAGCGATGAAAAAACGGACAAAACTTTCGGAACAACCTGATATTTGAATCTTAGAGAACTCACCCTATGATATTTGTTTTCATTTGTGCATTTCAAACTCAGTACGGTTCTCGACTTTATTGAAGGTCTGTTACATTCTTATATATAAAGCTGAATGTCTGTTTGTCTGTCTGTATGTCTGTATGTCTGTCTGTCTGTACGTATGTTCCGAATAGAAAATTCCATTTCTAAACCGATCCGGACCAAACTTGGCACACATACACTACGGGCCCCGGCGGGTGTCATAGGCTACTTTTCGTCATCGATCGATATCGATTTTTATCGATTTTTTGCTGAGTTCACCTACGGGGCTGGGAGTTGGCACAGGGGGGTAATCGAGCATGGGGATTCCGAATACAATATTAGTTTTCAGAATTATCGATTACTTTTATCTATTTTATCGATTTTTTTGCAAAGTTTGAGCTACGGGGCTGGGAGTTCGCACAGGGGGGTAATCGAGCATGGGGATTCCGAATACAATATTGGTTTTCGGGATTATCGATTACTTTTGTCGATTTTATCGATTTTTTGCAAAGTTTGAGCTAGGGGGCTGGGAGTTGGCACAGGGGGGTAATCGAGCATGGGGATTCCGAATACAATATTGGTTTTCGGGATTATCGATTACTTTTATCGATTTTATCGATTTTTTTGCAAAGTTTGGGCTACGGGGCTGGGAGTTGGCACAGGGGGTAATCGAGCATGGGGATCATCCCCGTGGGGGGTGATCAGCATGCTCGATTACACCCCTGTGCCAAATTCCAGCCCTCTGGCTCAAATTTTCAAAAAATCGATAAAATCGATAAAAGTAATGGACGATCCTGAAAACTAATATTGTGTTCGTAATCGGCATGCTCGATTACCCCCCTGTCCAAAATCCCAGCCTCGCATGTCAAAATTTACAAAAAATCGATAAAATCAATAAAAGTAATCAATAATTCCGAAAACTAATATTGTATTCGGAATCCCCATGCTCACTTCTCCCCCCCTGTGCCAACTCCTAGCCCTGTAGGTGAACTCTGCAAAAAAATCGATAAAAATCGGTAAAATCGACATCGATCAATAACGAAAAGTGGACTGTGACACCCGCCGGGGCCCGAGGTGTATGTGTGCCAAGTTTGGTCCGGATACGGCGAGCCGGGTAAGCCAGCTAGTTCACAGTAAAAATGACATGGCGATCTTCAGAAGTAAACCGGTTCTCGTAAGCTACACAGATAGGATACGAGAGAATAAGATCGCATATGGACTAGGGAATTTCGAAAGCAACAAAAATTCAAACTGGGATCTAGTTAAGAACCTTGTTGATTTCTATCGCATGACATCGGGTGGAGGACATTAGGTCGCCGAATTTGGAAGAGTCCCGCGCGGATTCCCTGCAGGAACGCATGTCCGCGTATGTACAAGGGTGCTTATTTGTCGCAAATGACCGCGGGGACCGCCCCCTTTCGGCGACCTAATGTCCTCCACCCCATGACATCAACTTATGGAAAACCAAGACCTAACACTATGACGCCCTATTTATGTGATATAATGTTGGAGGGCTCGGAACTTCAGACACCCGTCTGCACCGGAGGAGAAAAGTCGAAGTTCTTGGTCAATGTATAGTTGCTGTACACCTTGCACCGTCGACTGCGCAACTGAAATCACATGGTTCTTACCACAAAAAACGTTAGACAGGAAATTTCGTAATTTTGACTCTCAAGGAACCTTGTCTAAGCGAGAATCCACTTTTCGCAACATGTTCGCCGGAAAAGCAGTGTATCAACTGTAAGTCCACATCAGCAGACCATATCTAAAGTAAGCCATAATCAAAGTTCACAACATTTTTTGCCTAAATACACTTACTTTTATATTACCATCACTTGACCCCGCTACAATCAAATTTCGCGTGGGGTCAGTAACTAAAGCGTTAACGACCTCATGTGAGTCAAATGCTCTCACGGTTTCACGCAGCTGACATTTGCGTATGTCCCATAAGCATAAATCACCGTGTCGACCACCGGACACGATCGTCTGAAAAATATGGTAAGTTATCCAGAAAAACTATTTCCAAATGAAGCGTTTTTCTGGAAATCGCCGGTGAAAATTCAAAATATGAATTGAGATCAAGCACTGAAACATCAGCCGCAGCCCTTCAAAAAGTCCATGATTAAAAGAGAACCGGAAATTGACGAGCAAACTGACGTGCCAGAGGCTGGTCATAAATTCAATAGATTCTCATTCAATGTCAACTTCAGTTTCAGAATTCCGAAATTTTTTGAGCAATACAGTTTTTCATGTTTCGCTCTAAAACACTGGAACAAGATATTTAGCCGAACTCTAAATCATCTCATTTTACTATGCCTATTTTTTCCGTTTGTCAAGTTTACCAAATTAGCAGTGGAATTTGTGAAAAAAAAAATCAAAAGATTCCAAAAAAAAATCGTTTGCGGTTTCGAGAACCAAAAACATTTTTGGAAACAGCAAGTCGTTGTTGTCAAGACCTCCATACCAAATTTATCAAAATTACAGCAAAATCCATGGAAAAAGTTGGAAGTTAAAAGAAGAAGATTTTGAAGTTTCAAAGACAGTGGTCGGGCAAATTGACGATTTTGGGGTATTCATCGTTCTTGACTGTTGATCGAAAATCGTTTAGCTCATTCGGGACAATCAAGAGCAACAAATATTAGGCTGGAAACTAAGTTTTGCAACTGGTTTCATAACTTCACTCTCGTTCAACATGGCGCACTCAAACTTTGGCATTATGTGGAATGCAATGTGAGCTACAAGTGAGCACAAATTGTCTAACTTTTGAACACGAAATAGAAAAGTTTCAGGCTTTTTCCGAGAACTAGTGAAATTTGAGAATTCTTGGGGTTTCAAGCTAAAATGAAGCCTTTTGCAGCCTAGACCATGCGCAGTAATCCGTATTCGTCTGCAAATTATTGCTGGAGGTTGACTCCGGTCTATTAAAAAAAAGAAACAAAATTTAGGGACATGTCGAGATTTGGCGTCCTCATAAAGTCGAACGAGTCGAAGTACGCAAGAGCTGCTGGGGACGACCGTCAGTGACTAAAGAGTCCGAAGCTCAAATTCCGCCGAGACTTTACATTTTAAGGTTATTTGACCTGCCAAACGCGAATATCGCATTCATTTATTGAATAACGCCTTTTTCCTTGTTTAGGGTGAGACCCCATATCGTACATCTACAGTAATCCTACAACAAAGCCCTTATCACGCAATTTCAACATCGTTTTCGTGATCAGCATGTCGGATAACACCCCTATGCCGAGTTTCAGCCAAAACCGTCAAATTTTGAATTTCTCCTCTTCATACCATGCAACCAACGTAACCCTCACTGCGACGTCAGAATTTGGTAGGACAGCAGCTGCGCTTGTAGCTTACGTAACAACCAACACAGTGGCAAAATTTGAGTGCACCATGTTGAGTGAGAGAGAAGTTATGAGACCAGTTGCAAAACTTAGTTTCCAACCTATTACTTCAAACTCGCCGATCGGAGCCACTGTCTTTGAGCAAGACACCATCATTCGAAGGCATCATCTAAAATCTCTAAACCGCAATTTTGAAGGTTCGGCGGAAAATTTGTCTAAACCGTCTAAAATTCAAAACGAGATTATCCAATTAAATTCGAATGTGTATCCCAATCGAACGAAAATCGCTACTGAACTTAAATCCGAAATTTAATAAGATTCCGTCGTACACTGTAGGATGAGGGCGTGATTACTGTAAGCAGAATCAGCTAGTACCAGAACTAGGTGCAGATCAGCGTAGCTGAATCTTCAACCTTCATTAACTTTCTAACTAGGTGGCGGCAATTTTTAGGAATATACAAGTTCCACATCCGATGATACAAAAGGAAGTCAAAAAAAGACTCAACTCTATTTCCACATCATGAGCTGTAGCAAGGACAAAAGTACTGAGTTTGCGCGCAACAATCTTCAAAGCTCTTTTCATGACAAATAGTATGGAAAACTGAAAATAGGAGCTCACTTGCTGTCTGGGCAAGTACATGACCGCTGTGGCTCCTTCCGGGTGTGCTACCCATGAATGAACCAAAGCGCTACTCTGAGAAAGCAGAGTATCCCATAAAGCAAGATTGGAGTCTCCAGAGGAGTTGCCAGCTGTTATTAAAACAGTAGAGCTATGGTCTACAAATCTTACATCCGAAGCTGATTTACTGTGACATCTTTGACTCTGTAAAGCACATAACTTCTGGAAAGCATAATACAGAGAATATTACTGACGAAGAATGGCTTCCTGTGCTCTGTAGACGTGTCGACTTGCCATAGACACAGTAGACCATCTCCATCCACAGCAGCGAACTTATTGCCGTTACAAGAGAAAGTTACCTTTGCAACCTAAAGAAAATGCTGATCAAACGCGAAAAAAAGCGCTGATCAAATTTACCTTGGCATGCTGGCCATCGGCACGGGCGGTGTATACGGGTTGTCCGGCATTCCACTCCCAAACCCTGATTGAGCCGTTAGAAGAACCAGTCACATCTGTACGAAAGCGCCTGTTTTCAAAAAAATTTAGTTATTTTACCAACTTACAGTAAGGTGATGTTGGATGAGAATCTATTTTTCGTATGCCTTGAATCTTTCGCTTAAAGATCTGCAAATTACAGCACTCAGGGAAAGCACTTTTCAAATTTTAAAGTAACAATTCTGAAGTCGAAAACTAGACGTCCACAGCCACCTCATACCCACCTTCTGCACTCCCATTCTGCTTCTATCAATAATCCACGGAGTGATTTTCTAGGCAATCAGTGATGATAGGATATATGAGAACACTATAATTGAGCACATACCATGGCTGTATTTGGGCTATCTGGACTCTCAGTCCCATATGCATCTTCCGCAACCAGTTGGTAATCATCATTCTCCTTCAGCAAATCACGATAAGCCGTTGAAAGGCTCACCTAAAAACCTTTCACAATCTTCTTTAAAAAGACGCAGACAAATGACTGACATCCAATTCCGAGCGATTGTACAACCAAGACGATGTATCACTCCATTTCTCAAAAACACCTGATAAGTCCAACTCCTGGAGCTCTCTTCCAGTAGAAACTACCAACCATCCGAGCTTCTCCTGAAGTGTATAGAGATAGGCAACTCTATAATAACGGGCTAGCAGCGGCTGTAAATATCGGCGTCGTATTTACAGCAGGGACCGGTGACGAACAACCCTCCCACAAATTGGCAAATTTCAAAAAATAGCTTGGAATTCGGGGGGCGCTCGTTACGTGCGGGCTGCCCATTGGAAAACGTCGCAACGCGGAAGCGCGCGGGGAGAAGTAGTGCAGCAAACTTGTCAAATCTATACACCTAGATCATCAATGCTTCTTCTATACTGTTAGTCTTTTACATTTAACAGTTTATGTCTTTTTTGTCCTCCAAAGTGCTAATTTTGCAGGTTTTGTGGGGTAACCTCAAATAATTAAGCAAAACTAATATGGGAATAGTCTGTGAACCTCAACAAAGGATGAGAGATTGAGAAAGTGTGTGCTGAGAATCATGCTAGCCGAATTTCTTGAGTGCGGTCACTGGCAGCCTGTCGCGCGCGACGTTTTTCAATGGGCAGTCCGCACGTAACGATACGCACCCTAGAATTCACACAAATTACGCTTTCCAAAATTCCGTCATAAGATAAACTCCAGAGTTTTCAAAATTCCAGGGTGCACACAAATCGTAGGCACCCCAAAAAAATCTTTGGAATACGCGCTGATGCCAAACCTCTCCCTACACTCAAGAAACATTTTCTGCTTTGCCCAGCCCCGCCAAAATTTCTAAAAATGCCATGCTGTGCAGATATTCATCGAACGCTTTTCTATAGCCGAGAAGACTAATGAAAATTTGTCAACCTTTACATTGCCTTGGATTAGCGGGCTAACAAACTGGTGCTCAATCCTCCAACTTTATCTAATATTCCCCCCCCCCGTAAAGTAGCGGTTGCTAAGGAATCCGCATCTTGCCCCATTCACCAAGCTCCTCGTACCATTACCCCCCCCCAACCCCTCCCTTACTTTCTAGTTCTTTTTTTTGGGAGATTTTCAACTCTCATTGTTGCGAAACAGTCTAAACTATAAAGTCTAAACTATAAAATTCACCTGATTGCAGGCGAAAGCAACAATTGGTTCGCTGTCTTTGTGAAAGATCTTGAAAGCGCCTGGAAGAGGCTGAGCGCCTTCACCGGCTGAAGTATCACTGCACTCCACAAGCTGCTCCTGAATATTGCTACGATAAAAGCATAACTACCACTAGGAACCTGACACATGCCTGCAGGCTTTGAGCTGAGAATATATGACGGATAAATAAATGTTTGAGATGGTCCTGATGGACCAGATACGACCATAGTCGCTTCAATGAAACAACTCGAGGATCCTCGGATTTGAATGGAGTGTTGTTTTCTTCTGTGATCATCGCATACTTTCTGTAAGAACAGGATTATAAACCTACACACCCTTGGTTTATTGCAAAGCATACTTTGAAAAACTGGAAGAATCGTTTGTATCTACAATCATGTTCGGAAGCAGGTTGGAGGGGCAACCACCAGGATACATTTGTAAGGTATAGTGCAACTGCGACGACCATCTACTGAGAAGGTCCAGTAAAGCGTTAATTTGAGGGGATAAATCAAGGGCATCTGTAAAAAAAGACATTATGAGAGTGTCAAAAAACTTTCAAAAAAGGGACGTTATACCATTCGGATCGAAACCTGTAAGCGTTAAAAACTGACGAATCCTATGAATCTGTTGTTCAACAAGAACAAGTCTGAGCAGCTGCCAAGCGTAGGATGAAGAATATGCCTTTCCAATACTAAAATTTTGTTCAACTTATAAATGGTGAACTTTCACCTTTTATGGACCAACTGAAAGGTAAAGATTTGTAGGTTTTTCACGCTGAATATACGATTGCAAAAAAGTATGCTCATGGATGTCATCTTCGAAGTTACGTAGATCAATTCGAAAATGTAATTATCAGTCGTAGAGACTGCCTTGCTCTATGCAGTACACCTCATTATCCACTTGCTGTGGAGGATGAGCAAAGATTCTTTTTCATAAACTATTAGGTTGGCACCAGTGGCGTACCCAGGATTTCCGCTCGGGGGGGGGGGGGCGCGACAAAAAATTTTTTCAAATGAAGGTGCGTAGCGTTAGCCACGCACTCCGAAAAAATTTTAGGGGTGCTTCTCAAACTTTTTGCGGGTCCCCAACCCCGAAAATCCGGAAAAAGGGGGCGTGGCGTCAGCCACGCCCCCGAAAAAAAATTTTTTACAAGGCTAATTTGAATTTTTACAAATTTTTAAAAATTATTTTAATTATTTACAAAAATAAACAAGTCACTTGCACATTTTTATAACCCATATAAGCAACTTTCAAAAATTTGGCGACCCATTCTCGGAAGGGGGGGGGCGCGCGCCCCCCCGCCCCCCCCCCCTCGGTACGCCACTGGTTGGCACATAAGTTTTGCAACTTTTCCCGTAGCTTTTTTCCTATTTTAAGTATAAATCTCATTTTCTGGCATCATGTAGATCGTGATGTAGGCTGCAAGTCCGCGCAAACCGTTTGATTTTTGATAACGTAGTACAGAAAATCTAAGCATTTTTTGAAAACTGCTGAAAATCGAGGTTTCACGATTTTTTAGCAAACATGAACCCTACGAAACCTGATTCAAACATATGAAAAAGCAATTACAGGCAGCATGTAGCTGGAAGTTGGCACATTGGAATCAGTAAAAAAGAAATGAAATTTAAACACAAATTAAGGTGGGGCGCCTTTGAGAAGTTGAACAAGTCAAATGCGTCAAGTTTTGAAGGCAATCTGTCAATAACTAAGCTGCGAAAAGTCAGAATTCGCTATAACTTTGCACTATAGGGTAATCCTATGCGGTAAACACGAATATCATATTCATTTGTCGCTAAAATAAAATTCATCTTTTGATCTCACGAACGAGGCCTTTTCATGCGAAACGGATCTCATTTTTGTGATCAGCATGTCAAATAAGCTCTATAGGCCAAGTTTCAACAAAATCTGATGCATTCTAAAATTTTTCCCATAGTACCGTAAACCTACCGTAATCCTCACATAAGATGGTAAAATTCGGCAAAAATGTGTGCATTAGAAGCTTACATCATATTCCTTATATTGCCAAAAAATTAATGCGCTACGTTCAAATAGACAAAAGTTATATAAAAAGTTGCATTACTTATGTGCCAACCTAATAGTTGAAAATCTGATAATAACCAGTCACTGTGTGCTTCCCATACACCAGAAATCCATACCAACCACAATAAAATATTTTGATATTGAGAAAGACACAAATGAAAAACAATTTGATGGATTTTGCGCAGCTCGCCAAGCAGCCCCAGAGCGAATTATTCCAGTTTTCTTCAGAGAAACCTTTGCTAGCAGCTTTTGCCTAAAAGCTACATTCATTTCTTCCGGATAGGAAACTCAACAATCGCATACTTTCTTCTGAACCTAAGCCAAGATTGGTACTAATCTTAATTCGGGCTGATCTTTTGGCGTCGTTGCAATCTTCAGCCTGGAAAGGTCACAAACTCGACTTATGCGTTCATCTTTTGGTCCACTCTATTGAATTTAAATCCAGCCAAAAAAATTTGCAGAGAGTCAAAAAATCTCAGGTGGCTCGTATAAAACGCGATGGTATTGCAAGCCAAGCCGCAAAGATATTTTAGTCTACTATCGCTCTGCTCGCCTTGGAGCACAAATAGGTTGGCGGCATGTATGAAACGGACAGTCTCGTCGGATGCATCCGTCTACGCCGATATTTGGCTGAGCAGATCGAGCAGTCAAACAATTAAACAACACAAGGAAGTCTGTCAAGTGCACCATAAAACCCAGATCGAACAAGGTTGACCGACCAAGAAAAACATTCTATTTTGTGAGCCTTACATTACAGTTGGATTATGTAGTTTGTAGTTAGTTATGAAGTCACAGTTATGTAGTTTTTATAAAACTGAACCGCAAAAATAAATGTATTGGTGTGATCAGACAAGGACGAATGCATTGCTATGATAGACGAACCAGCCCTGCCAAAACCTCTGTGGGTTCTGTTCTGTGAGGTCGAGGTCAGAGGCGTTTGAAAGAGGGTAATTTACTACCAAGAGCGTTATCTTAATCATTGGTACTCGCACTGTTGACCGTTAAAGCTACTACTGAGGTGAGCGCAGGTTGATCTGTCCTCTGCTGGTGCCTAGCGTTTGTCATGATGCTGAGTTATGTCTCTAACCGAAGGTCTTGAGCGCATAAATGCAATGTTTCTAACCTTTCCCGGCTCTGAAGACGACAACGCCGAAAAGTCAGCCAGAACAAAAATTTTACCAATCTTGCCACGGCTCAAAAGCAATCTCAAAGTTATACCCGATGCCGAGATTTAGTGACAATCTGACATGGAATGGCATACTTGTCGTCCTCCGATTCGCTCATACTGGTCGAACTAGAACTATCCTCCGAATCGTAATGAGCACGCATACCGTGTATAGTACTTTGTATAGGCTGTAAAGCTCATGTGTCGAGTACACCAAAACTGAGGTTCGCCTTACCTTATCTGCAAAGAAATGTACTAAGTCGTTTCTCGGTGGCACCCACTTGGTCAGTAATCGCACATGCAGTGTGGAGAGACCCATTTCTGTCGTACCAAGCGATAGCTCCTCCTCCTGAACAAGAGCTAAAGTCTGTATAAATCATTATAATCGGAGTTTTGTGGATACACTTTTGAATCATTGTCAACAGTACGGAGGAACCGTTTCAGAACTACTTTGAATATCTACAATTCTCTCCTTCTAATAATTATCACAAGTTGGGTGCGTGGCAAGTGGCACCCGTCCAGCCGACTGCTTCCACAGCCAGCCACTGGAGCTGCCGGCAAAGCCGCTGCAGACAGATGATACAGTAATTATGCTTGTCGTCTGAAACTCTGCAGAGAGGTCTCCCGCACCTCGTCGCGCTGAGGTGCGATATCAGATCTCATAGATAGCGTTATATCCTTGATATCTCTATCATTCTGAACAGCAAAAAATTCATAATTTTATTAGGACCATGCAAAAAAAGAAAGCTACAAATAGGGGGGGGGGGGGTCGTAAAGCTGTCCACACATCCCAGTCAATTTAAATACCCAAATGAGCACAAGCATAATCAAGAAATCTTTAGTTTCTAAGAAATCTTGTTTTCTCGCTTTTAAAGGCAGCGTCAGAACAAGACAGGGTGTTGGGATGCGAAAGTGGGCCCCTTCAGACACACCATTGCGCAAGTACGAGGTTATAGAGTTCGACCTAAAGCAAGGAAATGATCGGGAACTAGGGAAACTTATGTCTCGGGGAGGGTCCCCCAACCAGTTTGAATTTCTGCTATGCGGCAGAGTGTGCATGCCGCCACAGTCAAAATCGTAGGGTCGCGCAGAGACTCTGCGTCTCAACCTTGGCGAGGACCGTCGAATTTCAAACTGCAGGGCTTTGGAAAACGCAAGTTCTCGCCGTTTTCGCGCCTTCTAATGGTTTTTCGAATTCACCGCTGTGGTAACCCCCACTAAGCGGAATTTCTAAAAATCGAGTTTTTGCCCGGACACTGCCTTCAACGTTGGGGAACAGAAGGGAACAATCACAGGAAAATATCATGGATATAACGGTAAGAAAATTCACCAAAATAATCAATTCTTTAACAGTAGAAAAAAGTTGTTAAAGTTGTTAACTCGCGACCTAATGATTCAAGCAAGTTAGATAACCAAAGTAGATCAAATAAATTAGATAGGTCAATGTGAGAGAAAAAAATATGCAACATATGCTGATATATTAGGTTGTCAAGAAAATAATGTCCGTTTTTATTTGCTTGCTTTAACATAGCAACCAGACTCAACTCAACAAAGAGTAAGGGGTACTGTTCGATAGAGCAAAGCAAGCTCTACAAGATGGCACTCATGTATTTGCGCCATGCTCGATCCACGGAGAGTTCGAACTCAAAATCTAAAGATTTCCGAATGCCCAAAAAATCGAAAAAATCAGATCTTCGTCCAAATAATTTCTACGGACCTCCCACTCGCTCACATCAATACTATCGATATCTCATATCCATATGTGCGATTGCCGTATTTTTTCCTTGACTAGAAACTGAGAAAACGAAAATTTCCCTGATTTTCTCCAAGCAATGCTGAGCCGTTTTTGCATATGTAGTTCTATACTACAAGCCTAGGTAAGCATAACTGTAGATTTTCAGCCTATTTCGAGCGGTACTTTTCGAGAAATGTCGATTTAAGCACTGAAACTGAAACAAAAAAAAATCCGAATTCGTTATTTTTCGAAAACTACCGCTTGGAGTGGGCTGAAAATCTACAGTTATACTTACCTAGGCTTGTAGTATAGAACTACATATGCAAAATCGGCTCAGCATTGCTTTGAGAAAATCAGGGAAATTTTCGTTTTCTCAGTTTCTAGTCAAGGAAAAAATACGGCAATCGCACATATGGATATGAGATATCGATAGTATTGATGTGAGCGAGTGGGAGGTCCGTAGAAATTATTTGGACGAAGATCTGATTTTTTTCGATTTTTTGGGCATTCGGAAATCTTTAGATTTTGAGTTCGAACTCTCCGTGGATCGAGCATGGCGCAAATACATGAGTGTCATCTTGTAGAGCTTGCTTTGCTCTATCGAACAGTACCCCTTACTCTTTGTTGAGTTGAGTCTGGTTGCTTTGTTAAAGCAAGCAAATAAAAACGGACATTATTTTCTTGACAACCTAAGGGATCGTTCAGACCGCGCCTGTACCCGCCCAAATACGTCCGAATACGTCCAAATACGTCCGCATACGTCCGAATACGCCCAAACCCGCCCGAACGCCGAAACTGCCAATGCGCAGCAAATTGCATACAAATTGGCATATTGGAGCACGCGTGGAATACTGCGTGCGTGGTGCATATATGGTAGCCACACGTAGCTCGACGTTACATACCGATTTTCATATGCGACTAGCGGGATTACAAAGATCAATCGACTTTGCGTTTGTTTTTATTTCTTCTCATGTTTGCTGACTCTAGGTGAGTTCTAACTTTCGTGCTGTGCGTTTTCTTTTCTTTTGAGCATGACGATCTTGTTGAGGTAATGCTTTGTTCTGTCTATGAGTCATTTCTTTCCATATTGATCTGGTGCAATAAAAAGGCCCGGTCTTTGCTCAAAAGCGCCCAAATTTTTCTGTCTTTCTCTGGAGGAGAGATAGGAGTGAAGAGAGATTCAAAAAACTTGAGCGCTTTCGGGCGCTTTTGAGCGAAGTCTGGCCGGGGCCGAAGAGGTATTCTAGTCATCTTTACGCGTTAGGCATACTGTCCCTGTAAAGTATAAACAAAAAGTTGACAACGCACGTACTTAGAAAACAGACAAAGAAAATGTGCATATTCTACTAATTCCAGATCAATATGGAAAGAAATGACTCATAGACAGAACAAAGCATTACCTCAACAAGATCGTCATGCTCAAAAGAAAAGAAAACGCACAGCACGGAAGTTAGAACTCACCTAGAGTCAGCCAACATGAGAAGAAATAAAAACAGGCGCAAAGTCGATTGATCTTTGTAATCCTGCTAGTCGCATATGAAAATCGGTATGTAACGTCGAGCTACGTGTGGCTACCATATATGCACCACGCACGCAGTATTCCACGCGTGCTCCAATATGCCAATTTGCATGCAATTTGCTGCGCATTGGCAGTTTCGGCGTTCGGGCGGGTTTGGGATTCGGACGTATTTGGACGTATTCGGACGTATTTGGGCGTATTTGGACGTATTCGGGCGTATTTGGGCGGGTACAGGCGCGGTCTGAACGATCCCTAATAAAAGGGACAGCGTTATCACCAAGCCAAAATATCTTATTCTAATCTACACAACTGCCAACAAGATCTTTAGGCTTATTCAAAAAATTAGTTACTTCCCCTGATTGAGAAAATGAAAAACTAATAGTGGAAAATTAACACGAACCCGTTGGAAAATAAAAGGTGATTCAAAATTGAGAAAAAGCAAAAGAACCATCCCTAACAGGTGCTTCAACAAAACCGGATTTAGAATTCTTAAGTGTTCATGGAAAAATGAGTTTGATTTCTGAGAATTTTTTATTGAAAAAAATTAAGACTCCAAAACTACAGCGTCAACAAACAATTAGTGCATTTTGATGCCAAAATTTGTAACGGAAAAAACTGTTCATTTTCTAGCATAATCAATTTCGTGTTTGTAAAATTTGGAAATTTTCCAGTATAGATTTTTATTCCACCATTGTATTGTTTCCAAAACAAAAAAAAAAATGAATCTCTGCCGTTTTGAATTTGAGATTCAGATACCGAGGATATCACGCTATCTCCGAGGCTGAAATCGCACTCCGGCGCGACAAGATGCGAGGTTCCTCTACAGGAGTTTAGACGACGCAATTATTCTAATATCTTCAGCGATTTGCAGACAGCTCCAGCGGCTGGCTGCGGCAACAGACGGCTGCCCGGGTACCACTTCCACGCCTCCTTCACATTACAGATTGGGAAAATGGGCGGTCGGGCAGGAGGCAGCAAAGGCTCGCCGATTCTGCTCATGGAAGTACCTGGGGAACTTCAGACTTCCTCGCGCCCCTGATTACTTCTTCGCACTTCTAATTACTTGATATGACCTATGCCAAATTGATCGTTGATTTCTAAAAGCGTGGCTAGTTTTGAGATAGCTTTTATATTTTGAATCCATGGCAAATAAGATGACAAGTTCAAAAAGATTCAGAGATAGCCATTCAGTGTCAAATGTTTTGAAAGTATGAATTGGTCTGTTCAATCTTAAAAGCAGAATCTCAAACATAATCCTTCTCAGTTATTCCGACCGAAGACAAGGATTTTGAAGACTAATTGCACTCCTTTATTCTGCGGCAGAATCACTTCCTTCTGTTACGAATTTTGGAGTAAAAGCCCTGAACCAGATATTTAAATAGGCTGAAAACGATTATAGCTGAGATTGAAAGAATTGCAAGATTCTCGAATTGATCCAGGGTGACATACTCCTCAAAAACATTTTCGTTCAATCCTCTAGCTAGTAAAGTCATAGGTGCGAAAAGTGATTAGAGGCGCGAGAAATCTGAAGCTCCCCAGGCACTACCAGAAGCAAATGCGGTAAGCCTTTGCTGCCTCCTGCATGACGTCCGGGAAAATGAGCCTACATTGACATGAGAATTTGGCTCCGACGAGACATCAGCGTTGACCACACGATTTTGGCCAAATTTCTTTGCGAGAGCAGATGGACCTGAAGAAATCACTTATGGATCACTATTGCACGCATATGTGATGCAAGCGTAACGAACGCGGTGGTCTCACTGGTGGTTTAGCCCTCAATTTCTCTTCGCCTGCACCTCCAAACAGCAAGGAAAATTGTAAATCGTCAATCTGATGAGCGGCTAGCCGATAGAGCCACTGTGAATCATACCTAACAAGAGCATAACAAAACAGCGACCTGAAGAAGGCACAAGAGCTCACAAAGATCTCATAAGATTGACTGTACGCACATACATTGTTACAGCACTGAAACACTCTGTTAAAAGTTGCCGAAACCGAAGAGATTTGCTGAATTTTCCTCGACCAAAAGATGCATTCTGCAACAAAGTCTGTGATCATGATTGATAACATGAAAGGAAAAGCTGATGAAGATCTCGGAGGCGGTCTCGCATAGTTTTAGCAATTGCACTTCTCACAACAGACTTCTTCCTTTACTAGCGCTCAAAGGCAGCGTCCAGGCAAGTCTGCACACATGGGGATCTTACGTGGATAGTAATTTTGGGGCCCTATCTAAGCCACTGCCAAACCGGCAGCTCAAGTAGTGCTCTAAAGGCCGAGATATTTCCCTCAAAATTGTACCCCGCGATCGTATTTCGCATAGATTCATGGAGCAAAGCGTGGATCCTGGCGCGAAACTGCCACAAATCCATGCGAATACGATCGAGGGGTCCAGTGAGGGGAATATCTCAGCTGTTAGTGCACTACCTGCGCTGCCGCTTGGGCAGGGCCTTAGTTAAGGCCCCAAAGTATCTTCCACGTAAAATCCCCATAGGTCCAGATCTGCCTGGACGCTGCCTTCAACAAGGAGAGGCATTGCCGACCGCATGTTCTTTCAGGTAGGAAACCTAACCGCATACAGTTCAAAACTACGCCGTTACACTCTACGCAAGTCTCAAGCATATGGCATCAATCTTTACAAGCATCAGTAGAAGAAAGTTGAGAAAAGATAAGGACTAAAAACTGCAGCGAAAATATAAACCAGCAAAGACAAAAAATAATGAAAAAGAGATATCCGTTTCTGTGTTATACTTATGATGTATGTTACTCTCTCAGACGGATGAGAGATGATTAGTGAGCCACCCCCGGAAAACTTAGTAAGGGTATCAAATCAATTGACCTCAGGCCATCGACTAGGCGGTGCTGATATCCTGAAATCGTTTGTGACACCAGGACCATAACTGGAGGCACTGAAAATAGTAACATGTAAAAAAACGGCAGAAGTACAATGTCAAGTGACTCCATTCAACATATCCTGCAGTATATTAAAAAAACAAATAGAAATACATTTGGCAGATGTAATGTTGACCAACGTACCCATGTTTTCCCACATCAGAACTATCCATAAAACACTGATCCAAATCACATAAAGATTGATATAAGCATGATGATAAGCTCACACCAGAATTATATAATGTGTATGCCTATAATACAGACATCTAAGCTGTAAAAGTAGGGTGATAACATTGTTTACCACCTTCTTCAAATACTCATCAACTTCAGTAATGTTAGTGAGATCGAGGATGGTCGATAAGAGATCATGGCATTGATATTCAATCAAATTCAATGGTGTTTCGAAGAAAATTCCGGCCCATAATACCGACGCAAATAATGGAGGTAAAGAAGTGGAGTCAGAAGCTGGCTCTGAACATGTTTATCGAGTTCAAAATTGTTTGTGAAAGAATGATTCAAAAGCTGAGCTTACCGCTAAGCTTAACCAGGTCATTGTTGGTTTGTGTTTCTGTAAACAACAGTGAAAACTCAAACAATGCAGAACCAAGACGATGGTTGTGGCCGGAATACAATGCGCAAAAAGAAATCAGTGATCTGAAGGGTCGTAGATAAACGAGCTATCTATGCAAAATTTATACATTGGCGCCAATCAATATTTAGAAAAGCGTGAGCTTAGACCTATAAACCTTAACAGATCCTGATTGTCGAGTAGCCAGCTTCGACGTTCAGTTGCAGATTTTAGCCCCGAGATTTCCAAACCATCGTTCATGCCACTTCTGCAAAAAAAGTACTGGTATGATTGAAAGATAACCGCGTGTAGATTAGACTTACCCGCAACTGAAGTCACATATATTCAAAGGAGACTCATAGACGCAAAAGTTTTTCAAAACTTCTACTTCCTTCTCCAACCACAGCCTCAGCTGAAATGGTATGAACTTGGTCTGTACGCGACAAACACCATCATAACCTCAAAGAGTCTAGCAGAACTGATGTGTACTCTTCGATACAAGGGCGGTAAAGAATTGCGCAGATAAGGCCGTGAAACGTGACTTTCCCAGTGCCAAAATTGTTACGAAACATTTGAATGGCCTAGTGGATAGGCGAACAAGAAGCTCGGCCTTTTCATCTGATGAGAGAATGAAATGTTATGTTGGGATCTGAAGAGCATCTTGGAAGGCACATTTTGAATTTGTAAAGATTTTGGCCCAATTTCAGCCCGTCATTGAGTACTATAGGGTTGAGTTTTTGTTGTCTGCGGTCAGTAACTTCTAAGGCCCCGGGCAGACTTCACGCGATTTGATCGTCGCGACTGAATCGCGACGAGACAACTGTTACAACATCATTCCATGCCGATCAACTTGCATTCGGTTGTGATACTTTTCCAGACCGAAATTTTTGAATGTGAAATGAAAATGAATGGAAATCTTGGCAATTAGATCGCGACGATTGAGTCGCGTGAAGTCTGACCGGGGCCTAAGAGAAGTCAAGACCCAAACGTCAATTTGCATAAACAAGTCCTAAGTTCTCTAACATGTCTAACACACCTGCGAGCGAAGCTGAACAGCGTCTCCATCAAAACTGCCCACTATTTCAAGCATTTCTTCCGTTAAAACTCGTAGAAATGCTTTGAATTTCAATTGCTGAGCGATGCCGTCGACAGCGTCATGATCCTAAGGGTAATTGTCAGTAGCCTTATTCAGACACGAAGAAAGAACGGACCTCAGTGTTGCTTCTCTTCGGTAATTGGCTCAATACATCCAAAGCAAGCATAGGACAGCCGAATACCATGTGCCCCACAGCTGCGCGAAAATACAATCTAAAAACCAATTTGGATGCAGGGAACATTTTCTTGGAATTGATTATTTAGCTGAAAGCAAATCTCACGCCTGCAAACTAGACATTTCTATCAAGAATGTCAAACAACATTTTTCTACAGTGACACCGTTTCTCAGAATTTCAAAAAACAAGTCCTTTAAAACGTCAAACTTTCAAGGCACAATTGCAGATGACGGAACAAACCTTCTCTCCATCGTTGTACAGGCCTGATTCCTAACTGCCACAAACTGCTCATCTGAAGCAACCTGAACACTCCGTATTCAAAATGACAGGCATTAGACAGACGCAGAAATAAGCGCGGGACTACCAAAGACATTCAGAAATAAGATAGAGACTAGCATACATTCTTGATCAAAATCTAGATATGAAACTTCGCACCTGAGCAGTATTGGTGTGTCTTTGCCTTATGACGAGTGGATGTTTACGCAGATATGAGTAGAAGCTGAATATGTCCGATAGAGTATAGCAATGAGATTGATCACGATGAACTTCTTGAACAAGCGTTCGCAATGCTCTTGAATAATCTTTCAAGTGCCAGTACGCCATAGATCGTACGAAGGGATCTCTAAATCAGTTATGGAGCCGTCACAAAAACTTTGCTAAAAGCGACAAACTTGTCCGCATCGGCAGCGATGGTAGCATCCTCGTATTCCTCCCCGCACATTTGTTCAAATTCCTTTGAGGTTTGACCCAGAACCTCTCTAAAATTCTTTAGATGCACTCGGTCGACAAGCATCAAAACCTTACCGGCAAAGCATTTCCTTGAGCATGGAGTGTTGAGCATCAATGTTAGCTTCGTACAATCGTAGCACTACCATGGCTAATTGTAAGTCATGACACTTACAAAGTATCGTCTAAACATGCACCGTGTTGAAACATGTGTTGAAGTTACATACCTATATACGTCATTCGTCGCATGCGGAGAAAGAACGCCATTGCGGACACTGTCGGCCTCTCTCTGATCACGCGCACTTTCGTCTTTCTCACCGTCTACCTTACAAAATCGAACTATCTTGGTCGGAGCAACAACGTCCAGTCTCTGCGTGCGACGAAATGGCTATACCTGCACAGCGTCTTTGAGGCTGCCACTAAGTAGGAAGAAAGCAGCAGCATGATGGAACCGCTGCTTGCTCATTAGTACAAATGCATTCTTGGCAGCCACCTGGTAATAAAAATGTTGGTTTAGTAACAGCTTCTAAAGTAAGCATAAACCTTCTTCCAGTATTCAGTGCTGAAGTCTTGCATGAAGAAGCTAGCCATTTGCGAATTGCGCACGGTCTAAACAGATCCAAAACTGGAAAAATCGTAAAGTTGTACTTTCACGAAACAATCATTTAGATGCGTGTTTCGTCTCGGAGTACAGAGATTTAGGTGAAGAATTGATTGAAGAATTGCGTCGCGGACGCGAGCTGCTTTACAATTGCCAACGCTTTGATTCAAAGCGTTGGCAGCTGTAAAGCAGCTCGCGTCCGCGACGCAATCTGCGTCTCCCTCGCGAACGTGCTCTCCGATTATTTTCTAGCCTTAGTTAGGTCATGGGGCCCCGCCTTCCGAGAGCCAATCCAGTTGAATCAAAGGCTATGGGCGCCATATCCTCCGAATCAATCAAATTAGCTAGAAATGCCGAAGTAAGTTTCCAAGGACTGATTTGATTTTTGAACCACGCATACACCAGTAAACTTCGCACAAATTTCCTGTATAAGTTCATAAATTTTGACGACCGCTATAAAAATTCACCTAATTTTCAAGGGGAAGGGGTGCAAAGCATCTTCATAAGGATCATTGAGGTTTAGCTGAGATATATTACGTAGTGAATATGAGAAAATAAAACAAACCTTGAACAAATGACTCAAAAAAGTTTTCTTTTTAAGAGCTAAGTAATACAGTGATGAATCCATCGGATCCTGATTTTGTTGAAATGCGGCCTTGGCAAGCTAGAAACATGCTAAATAGAGCTCAACCATCCACAATAATATTGAAAGAATACCTTCTCAACGAAAGCCTTGAGGCTAACTGTGTGCTTCAGCCACCAGCCAACGCCAAGGCTCCTCATTTCGTCCCACGTCGGGTTGATTTTTTGCAAACAGGAGATCGCATCCAATAGTTCCGGGACCGTTTCAGAATGTAGAGCCCAGATGATGTCGGATGAGGCAAGACCAGCCACCTAGAGAAAAGAGATGGTTCTAAAACAGCTAGTGGAGCGTTTGCGACTTCTTGCCTTCAGTTCCACTCTTTCCTTCTCAGGTAAGCAATGCAACAGATATTCATGTCGCTTTAACGCCATTAGGTAGCGCTGTCCACATTCATCAAGAGCTCCCATCCCAGTCGACGCTACTGCGTATCCGTGCGCTGCAGCACCACCTAGAAGATACCAATAGCGAATCGCTGGAACTCGATTGAACACAAAGATTTTAATGATAGAGTCCACGAAGAATTCAGTGAGCTACCGTACCTACAGTATCCTTCGAACTGCTCATCACATCAGTGGTAAACTGACTAAGCGTGTCAGCGATAGCAAACAGATGCATTTGATCAGTATCAGATATACCAGGTAATTGAGTATGAGTTAACAGCTCTACCAGCAGTCTGCACACACATCTTTGCTAGACAGTGGTTGGAAATACTTTCGCACCAAAATTACCTGTTATGCTGCGCAGTAAAGGCTGTAGGGGAGTGATAGTTTTGCAATGAAACATTGGATATTGCCGAATCCATTTTATCAGTGGAGAACAAAGTTTCGTACTTTTTATAGTCATCCTATAATCGTACCAGTTACGAGCAAATCAGTAAAAGTCTTGTGCCCATTCAAATACCTTTTCTTTCCCACTATACTCGTTTGTTTCGGTGTCAGAATCGTACAGAACATGTAGTGGTAACATAGGAAAACTATCGATTTTGCAGTAATTTCTAGCCTAAAATCAGCAAACAGTCAATGACAGGGAACTTGTAATATGACCACATAGCAAGTATATATACTACTAGGTGGCTTACCCGGCTCCGCCGTACGTTCCGAATAGAAAATTCCTTTTCTTAACCGATCCGGACCAAACTTGGCACACATACACTTCGGGCTCCGGCGGGTGTCACAGTCCACTTTTTGTTATCGATCGATGTCGATGTTATCGATTTTTTGCAAAATTTGAGCTAGGGGGCTGGAATTTGGCAGAGGGGTGTAATCGAGCATGCTGATCACCCCAGCCCCGTAGCTCAAATTTTGCAAAAAATTGATAAAATCGACATCGATCGATAACGAAAAGTGGACTGTGACACCCGCCGGGGCCCGAAGTGTATGTGTGCCAAGTTTGGTCCCGATCGGTTCAGAAATGAAATTTTCTATTCGGAACATACGTACACACATACAGACATACAGACAGACAGACAGACAGACAGACAAACAGACATTCAGCTTTATATAGAAGGATTTAACACTTTTAGGACATGAAAACGGCTTCGAAGTTGGCATAATTATAGATATTACCAAATATTTCTCTAATCCACTTGCAATTTCATCACATGTATCATCAGCGGTTGACATTCGTCTCGTAGACGCAGAAACAACGGCCTCATTTTGCTAAAATTTTCATAACGTGATGGATCGCGTTACCCAATCTTTCCTAACCTTCAAAACTTCGATAATGTGTAGAAGAATTGACTCCACTCTTTTCCTTTTTCCAGCATGCAGTAGTGCGTTCAACTGCTTCGGGTGGTATTGCGGTAAAACAGGAAAAGCTAGGCGAGCAGCCTCAAACAAACCATCTGATACCAGCGAGTAGGTGGCCGTCGTAGAGGAAAATGTCCTATATCAAAAACGTAGTCGGAATAAACCATGAAAACCACGTATGTACTTCTCTGTTGCATCCGAAATCAGCTGACTATTGGAGGCTGTCGCCCTTCTTTTCTGTAGCTGATTCAACGTTGATGGCAAATGAGATCGAGCTTTGAACGCCTGCGAATTCCCGGCATCATGATGACTGAAAGATTATGTATTCAGTAGCGACTGTATAAACCAAAAATATATGCTCAAGAGAACTAAGACAGCAAGCGATCAAACTAAGGAGGAAACAAAGTTACGGTAAAATTATGCGAACAACAATTGCTCATTGCCCGGCCGCTGTAGATTCCACTGGTCGTAGACGCGCATCTCGCTTTGGATGCCAACGATGAGAAGCCCATCGCGAGTGCAACCCAAGGATGTTAAAACTCCAGGCAGCCCATAAGCTGCTTGTATCTCGACCACTCTCGCGCACACCCAGCGAACCTCAAAAGATTTCTTCGTTATACTCCTCGGCTAATCAGTCACTCCCACCAATCGGCTGGAGGCTTCCTTAGGCGTAAGAAGGCTCACACTGGTATCAGATTGTTCCGAGTCGCACATCGCCTTCAGAAAAGATTACAAATAATGTGAAACAAAAGGAAGGAAATACCTGTGTATATATGCATACGGCCCTTGTAGTACCTACAATTAGGATATGTGAACCATTCTCGGTAGATACCCAGTCCAATAGTATCGCCTCCTTGACGGTCTCTATAATAGTCACTGAATCGTATAGTGATAACAACAGTCCCTGTTAGCAGCGTGAGCAAAACAGTGCATTCAGAAACATACAACTTATTCGCAGATCAGCTATTTTCAAGACGAAAAAGATGACTAGTAGGTACTGCGGTAGTGCATGTAACAAAAAATGCACAAAAGAAATGACCTAAACTGTTCGTAACAATCTTTGTTTTGGAGTTTGACTTGGAGTCCCCGATACGACACATACACTGACCAATATTCTAGACGATCAATGAAGAGAAAAGACGAAAAGACAATAAGCAATCTGCGACTACTCTATCTCATGCAAGTCTCAAAAGAAAACTATCTATGGACGGAGAGTTAGCACAGCTATGCTATTGCTGTTTTTGTAGTAAATAACGACGCAAAAATGTGCGGCCCTCGTTCATTATTCTAATGTCTACAAAGAAGAACTATAAGCGAAATTCTAATGTCTACAAAGAAGAACTATAAGCGAAAAATCATGCAATGACAGTAAAGCCACAACAAAAACCAATGCAGAATTAGTCACGAGTGAAAGTTTCGTACGCGAAGACGTTGAAAATTCAGCCGCAGAATCAACGAGCGCAGGCGACAAAGAAATTGTTGCGCTGAAGTAGCTTGTCTTTACTATTAATACAAGTTCAGAGGCCAACTGACGATACATCCGGAATAAGAACGTCCTTCAGGCTGATGGTATCCTCCTTCATCCATTCTATACCACCAGATGATTCGCACTCAAACACGACTATTTCCACCTTGAAGAAAAAGTGTATCAAAGGGGTGTTCATAAAATAATCAAAACACACTTACGTCAGCAATGTTAGCATTTTCCAGACTTCCTGTCTCACGACTGTAGGCATAAGCAATTCTTCCGCAATATGCAGCAGAAATGGAGAAGATTTTACCTGAAGGCAGCTCAATGTTAACATACGCACGGAATCTAGGAAAGAATGATCCCACCTACTAGCTTGACCTCGCCTGACTGACTGTTGATCATAGCCCATTCTTTCCATTCACACTTGACCACAGCACTTGCTTTAGCTATTCCGCACCGCCAAAATCGTAGCACATCATCTGAAAGACCTGGTGACATCAGAATACACGATTTCGGATACAGGCTGACTGAGCGAAAACTGACCGTCGCCACTTGTGCACAGAATGAACGGTGCTTGACAAAAAGGATAAAAAGATGACGATGGAAGATGTCCGGAAGCTGGCACAGCAGCAGTAATCTGTAAAAACAAGCTGATTTCAGCCACTAAAATGACTGAATAAGGCATAAAATAGAGCGTACATGGACTCCAAAGGGAAGAGGAACACGTTGGTGACAGATTTTCTCACTTTCCAAGTTTAACTCAGCATTATAAAATTGGGATAACTCTTGCGAAAATGCACCATCGCAAGGTTTGTGGCCTGAAGGGAAACACTGAGGCTGCAAACATATAGATAAAGCTGCTGGTTCAACTGCCTCAATTATCACCAAAAAAATGAAGGTACGAACCGATCTCTAGAAGTGGTTGACGGTGGGAAGACATTAATTCGAGAGAGTGCACTGCGAAACTAAAAAACAGCACGGTTGCTTTTGAGATAAACACGGACAAAGCAGGGAGCATTAGAATATTCAAAAAGTTTTTAAATCAGGGCCGCATGCATCAACATCCTCGCGGGGGGGGGGGAGATCGCAGCTTCAAAGAAAGCTTCATATCCTAAAGCTCTAGATATCTGGATTTCACGCTGTCTACCTATCCGTAAGTATTCCCACCATCCTTCACTATGAACCAGTGGTGGACCGAGGGTGGAGGGCGGTTATAAAAGTGTGCAAGTGACTTGTTTGTTCTTGTAAACAATCAAAATAATTTTTAAGAATTTTTAGAAATTCAAATTAGTGCAAAAAAAAATCTCGGGGAGTGTCTACCGCCACGCCCCCTTTCTCTAAATTTAGAGGTTGTGGGCCAGCAAAAAGTTTGAGGCGCAATCCAAAAGATTTTTGGAGTGCGTAACGCCACTCACCTTCATCTAAAGATTTTTTTGCAGCCCCTCCCCCGGACAGAAATCCTGCGAGCTACTGTTATGAACATATCGAACAGGGGCAAGAAGCTATACAAGCGCATTTTCCACCTTTTTGTATGATCCCCTGATGATCCTCGATGACCGTCTTTTCTTCAAAGTCATTTTTCTTTCTTCGGAATCAACGAAAATTTTCTAAAGTTGCACTGTTTGTCTAACCCAACGGTGCTAAGCAGTGATAAGAACAAAGATGTTTTGGAGTCATGAAATTTGCGATGAACCACAGATGGAGAGTTATGGTTTATCAAAAATTCGATATTCCAAAGACTCATTCGTTTTCATCAGAAACCTGCTCAACATTGCAGGGTTAGACGAATAGTACAACTCTGGAAGGTCGTTGACTTTGAAAAAAAAAAACATGACTTTGAAGAAAATACGGTCGGCCACCGGGGATCATTAGGGGATCACACAAAAAGCTGGAAAATGTGGCTTGTACAGCTTCTTGCCCCTTTCAATAAGTTCATAGTGAAGGATGGTGAGAATACTTATGGATAGGTTATGAGGCGTGAAATCCAGATATCTGAAGCTTCAGGATATGAAGGTTTATTTCAGACTGCGATCCACCTCCCCCTCAGACAATCACCGGGGGCTGACGGTCCGCAAACTCGCGTTTTTCTGCAGGCGGTCAGGAGAATTTTGGGGCGTGGCCAAACCTTCAGCGGGCGGCGCTTCCTTTACTGTCTAATGTTCTGCCAGCGGGCAGCAACACAAAATTTTCTGCAGGCGCTCGTCAAATAATCTCTTTCAGCGAGCGTGGTCAAATTTTCAGCTGGCGCTCGGACGGTTTTCAAGCAGTTTCGGGCGTACGCCGAGCAAAGGTGAGACTACATGGCAGAGGTGTCATCGATGGTTTAATTACTCAAGTTTGAGGTACTTTCTCTCAGCGGAAAGTACCTGGGGGCTGCGCGGTTCTCCACAAAGGACCGTGCGGCCCCGAAAATTCTGCATGTTCTCGCGAAAAGTCCGCAAGAATGCGGTCACTGCGCCGCAGCTAATCTGTAAGGAAACCGCGATTGTTCTCCAAGCATTCGCCTAAAATTTCGCTAAAATTCTTCCAAATGTCTGCAAGCGGACCGCAAGAAATCAGCGAACTATTTTTCCGGTGCCCGCTTGCCCAAAAATCGCATGGCCGCCTGCCCCCGGCGATTATCTGAGCCGGCAGAGACGTTGATGCATGCTGCCCCTAGTGAGAACATGAATGTAGGAAATGTCAAGCGCAAAATATAAAAACTGAGTTGCATCTAAGGAGAAAACGTGAAAGCTGGAGTAAACATTTGAAACTTTCTGTAAACGGAGAAACATACGTGTCATATTCTGAACCTCGTTCAACCAGAACAACAAAAAATTGCTCGCCGTAGGATGCACTTTTGCATTGTTCAACAACGCTTCCCACATAAGGATGATCCTCCCCACGGCAAAAACAAGCAACGCCAACAATATGCTCCGGGATTACATGTAGTGAGAGCAGTTCCGATGTTGCCTGCAACAAAAGGATTATTTCTTTCACGGCCTTAAAACATTTGATTCTTATTACCGAAACCGCACCGCTGATTCGTCCAACTTCTACTACACAAGTATGAAGTTGGTGTGGGCTTGTACTGGTGAATTTTTGGGACAATTTAGTGGTGGACAAACTAAATAATGCATGAGCATTAGAAAGCTAGAGACAATGACGAATGAAAAAAACGAGTAAAAATTGGAGTTGCTGCAATTTACCTCGCAACAGGACTTTCATTTTCCTTCGTCGAGTTGTCCAATTCAACTAAATCTCGTACTCTGACATTAGCCTAAATACAGGAGGAGATTTGACTATCCACAAACAAGATAGCTGACGTTAATAGATAAAATCGAAGAAATAGCCCACTTGATAAATCACGAGATTTTCGCCATCGCTAACTATAAAGCAACATCTGAAAAAAAAAGAACAAGTACTAGTACTCAAGATGTCAATAAAGGAAAAGGTATACTTGGGCAGAAGAGCTGGTATCCACGCTGTGCGTACACCGAGATGTATAGGACTAATGATGCGCGCGAGCTCCTTCACACCACCAGTTTTGCATAGCGGACCTATAGGGGAAGTCCTCCAAAGAACCACTTCAGAGTTCTCCTGGAACAAAGTGAAAATTCTGAAAAGAAGAAAGAGTTGGAATAAGTGAAAAACAAAAACGTACAGCAGTACCATCAGCTTGACTACATCGAGATTGTGATACGGTTAGTAGGAGAGGAAGCAAGGGATGAGCGACAACCTCAGATTACGTAGTTATGAAAAATGAAAAACATGAGGTTGTCTTAATGATACCTGAGTCACACAAAAGCGATGCCCACACATTCGTGATATGTGAGTGATACATCGAACTTTGCCAAGAGTAGTGTTTCCGTCCATGGTCATGTGCCATAGATTGAGGGAGCCATTCTCGTGATTAGTAAGTAGACAAACTCCATTTGATGTTCTTCCATCTGGCAACAATTTACGAAGAACAAGCGAGAAAGTCGTGATGAAAAAAGAAGGGCAACCTTACATACCTTCTTCGCAGTCTTCCTTTTTCCGATATACATTATACGTATATTTCTGAGGAATAAAAGTATGAACGGTAGGATGAATGGAAGACGCATCGATGACAGGAATTGCAGCTAAACGATGATGCCACAAAAATGTAATGTAGAGATTCACGCTGATGCAAAACTATGGACATAACACAGTACAAACAATCACTGATAAAAGTTATAAAATAAAAATAAGAACATCTATAGGCCATCCGCGCAGGGCGCGAAAAATGCGCAATATGTACTACGCGTCACTCCTCTTTCTTCGTGCACTCTCGCCGCCTGTTTTCTTTGCGCCTCTTCAAGTCATGAACTGCCTTCAATGGACGCAACAGCGTTGCTCTCCAAGCGCAGCGCGGACGGCCTATAGCTAAATTGGCAGAAATCTAAAATTCTCCAATATTGAGCAAAAGCGGTATGACACTGAGCAAGGTAAAAGAGTACCTGGCAATATTGAAGTGAAGGAAACGATAGCTTGGCGATTAGCATCATCTAGCCATTCGACTGTCCTGCAGAATCAGGATTATGTGAAGAAAAAATGATATTCAAATGCTTACCATGTCAAAAAAGAGCCATCAACAGGATGCACCGCGAACAGCACGTCAGTTGAACGAATCCAACGTCCTAGCAAAATCTCCAGCTTCAAATCAAAGGCATTTCTCGAAAAAGTGTCCTAAAAGAAAGTCCTTCATACCATGAAGACATAACGACCTAGTGATCCAAAAAACAATCCATATGAATGGCCACTGAAAAGCGACCAGTTTTCAAAAAGTAGATAACATATACCGAACAAACGCTGCCTACAATGGAATCTTTTAATTTGACTTTCTCGGGATGTAAGTCCGAGGAGAATGGACTGCACTCGCGAGCAGGACTTCCGGTTACATGCAAGCCCATTGAACCTTAACATTCATAAAATCAAGTAATACCCATGGAGTCACACGCACAAACCTCGATCAAGTCTGTTATTTTCTAAACAAACAGCTTCAGACAACAATTTCTCGATTTCAATGTCAAATTCCAGTTCTTTGTTGTTCATCCAATGCAAATGCAGCGGTTCGCACAGAACTACGCCATTCACTGAAGAAGCACATGGAACATAATGCGAATAGCACTGCAAGCAGAATAATAGAAAAGAATGGCAAATAAGACGTTGGGCAGTGCAATAGATTACAAAAACTGTAGGCAATGATTCGAGCCAAAAGTTCTACAGGATTACTTGCAAAGCAATTACGGCAAAACGATAGTAGATAAAAGATAATATGTTCAGGATGTCCAGAATGATTACCTGCTTTTACATCAATGGTGGCAGCTAAGTGAAACTGTACGTTAGCACGCGATTGTTGTCCAAACTGCGATCCACTGAAACACAGGCTTATCTGAATGTACCAAACAAGCGAGACAGCTAGAACAGTTGAATAACCCTTCATGCTCTTTTATTGCGCTGTAAGAACCTAGCATCCAAACTCCAAAAGCAAAAAACTCACGCAATCTCTAGCTTCTTGTTAATCTTGTTCCAATCACTTCTGATCTTTCGCGACCAACATTTACAACGGTACGGCTGACCTAAATTACAATATGAGAATATAAAGTGCCAATAAATAAAGTAGTGGCAGGCGATCACAAGAAACTGATCCCATGAAAAAAATTACCTGTCACATCACTCAAGTCCGGTGAAGAGAGTTCAGATAATGGTGTTTCTTTCCAAATTCGAGTTACCTTATCTTCACACCAAGTTATTAATACAGCTTGTACGCATGCACTAGATAATCATTCATAGAAATTAAGTAGTACTAGTGAAAGTACGACTACCTCGTCACATAACGGCCAAGTCGTCGCCATTCAAACCCAAGAACTATTGAAGGGTGATGCAACGTGACGTAACCAAGACTGAGTCGGTTTGGATTGTCATGCTCTCAAAAAATAATGTTAGTCTCTGATTTTCCAGTAGAGGTAACAGCTGTTCTTGTTCGTTGCAAAACGCAAGCTAACACATTGCCTACACCTGCGCAGAAAATTGTAATTACTCGAGGGGCAGTTGCGTGACGGTAGTACAACTAAGTAATTAGGTTGTAGAAAGTTCGTTCGCACCAAATTTAAAAATTCGTAACCTCGATTTTTCCAACTGATTGGACCGCTTTTGTTTTTGTATGAAAGAGTAACTCATGCTCTTTATAATGACGTCTTAAATGCTTGATAATGATCATCTGTTGCATAGATAGGAGCGGTAGAATAAAATTAGTCAAAATTCGAATTTTCGTAGGGTCATAAAAAATCTAAAACTTGCAATAAAAAACCGAGTTGATATCGTGGGTTCCATCACCCGCTCTTTCTAACTGTTCAAAGCTTGTGCTGATTGAACGTCTCTATCAATGTTTGATTTTCGGGCAAGCAATACAAGGCAGTTTTGATTTATTTTGACATTTTTCTCGTAAATCATAACTTTTGATAGAGACGTTAAATCAGCACAAGCCTTGCACAGTTAGAAAGAGCGGGTAATAGAACCCATAAAGTCAACTGCTCTGATTTATATTGAAAGTTTTAGATTTTTTATGACCCTACCCAGAAAATTCAAATTTTGACTAATTTCCTTCTACCTCACCTATCTATGCAACAGATCACTACTAAGCACCTAAGATGTCATTATAAAAAGCACGACTTACTCTTTCATACAAAAATAAGAACGGTTCAATCGGTTGGAAAAATCAGAAGTTATGAATTGTTAAATTTCGTGCGAACGAACTTTCGGTACATCCTTACACATTCCGAGGCTAGAATACCCGCGAACCTTTTCATATTTCTGAAGAAAACAGGAGAAACTTGTGCTAAGTGCAAGTTGCAGTGCTCCTTGCCTTGAGTAAACTACCAGTGCAAACCAGAGAGAACATGCTCGAGCCTAATGGTAATAGCGTTCTCGAAAAGCTTAGTCTCAGAAAGATGAAACATAATGTGAGAGTTTTTAAGACACTCACTACAAAAGCTGACCTCTGCGGAAAAATTTGAGGCTGGTATATTGTAGCAAACAAATTACCTTTTTCTGGACTAATCAGAAAGAAACTATGCGCAGAAGAACTAGAAGCCCTTATCAGCCGTGCGATCTTGGCTCATCAGCGTAAACGACTATTGCGTAGGAGCGTGCATATTCTTGAACCTCTTTCCATACAGTAAACGTCTACCAAGCGCCGCCTCGTTTGTTTTGGAACTGGGTGTGCAAAAAAGTCCAGAATTTTGCTGAAAAGCTTATGTTAACAAGATACTCAGTGATTGCCTAGGTTTGCTTTCAGTCCTACGAAGCACCGCAACCATATAGTAATGTTAACAATGTAAAGGTCTAGTAGAACAGAGTCATATTCAGAGAGAATTTCAAAAAAAAACTCATTGATGAAACTGCCAAAAAAAGCTGCAGCAAATGTCCATGATGGAAACATCAATGACAAAAACTTACCTATTTCTTCAAAAAATATCTTCACTGTGTGATCATATTCTCCCGCAACAGCCAGAAACACACCATCAGGAGAGTATTCTATGTACTTCGGAGCATGTGCAAGCTGTGTTGACCAAACATCATCCCAACTATGATCGTGCTGTGCTTGCTTCTGAAAGATGGGAATGATTGCAAAAAGGGAAGGAAAACTGTTGCCAACATTTTCTGGGGTGTGAAGCACAGACAAATTTGTGTATGCTCCAGCCATCCTAGACAGACATCGCTGCTGATAGAAAACTAGCTTATCACCCATCACCAAAGTCAATCTCATGCCTGAAGTTGCTATATCTTTACTAGGACACAACAAAGTCCTCTATACCGTTCAAGTTCCAACGAACAAGGTCGACTGGTTTTTCAACCGTAAGACAATGTATTTCGACCCAGCGATGATTGAAAAACTATAAAGAGTTTGCGGAGGATTGTAGCAAATATTATACTGGGAAGAAACTCACATCGTCATGCTCATCTTTATATGTAACAGCTTTTGGTTCAAAAATCCGGATGATGTTACCGTAAACGGCTGCAATCTAAAAAAAAAACAACAAAAAACAAGATGACGAAGAGAGAGGTAAAAGTAGATCCATTACCCACTTTTCCTGAGGCTTGGCAGCAGCTCACGCTGTTCACCCGATGTTCTGTATCGTGAAGACACCCAGAAATTACCTAGAACCTCTTTTGAGTGATAAAATCAGAACGAAAGACTGCAATACCTGCACTCTGGAGAGGTCATCCCTCAGAACAGCAACGTTCGAACCAACAGCACATGCCTGAAATGGTCTGGACTGAGAGCGGCAGATAATCAATGTGCAACTTTGAAAAAACTGCCTACTATAAATGTCGTCCATTCCGTGTTTCCGACAGCATAAACGCTTTCTCCTCTGTTGAGTGCGCCAGTTAATACCTGATGTGGTATGGGCATGAGAGGACGACAACCTAGATATGTACAACCATTTATAATCGAGTAGATTTTCCGCTTACCCTAAAATCCGTGCAATAAGTCCGCCCTATCAGATAAGTCCGCAAGGAACTAACAGTTGAGTCCGCTTTCTTGACAACGAAAGTCGCCCTCGCGCCGCCAAGAGTCCTGCAGATAAGTCCGGACTTATTGTACGGATTTCAGGGTAGTATAGTGTGCTTGCACTGTAGGTGAAATGCGGTAAAATTTGCGCGTGAACAAATAGCTGCGCCTGTTACGCCGTCCAATTGGGCGCGCAAAAGGCTGGCATTGCTGGCGTGGCTACTTGTTCACGCGCAAATTTTACCGCATTTCACCTTTATTGCAAGCACACTATACTAAGCGGGAAATCTACTCGACTATAGATGGATAGATACAACAGCTGCAAAACCTTTGGAGTCAAAAATTCGACAGTGCAAGCTTCAGAACGCATAATCGGCCGCGGAACTGGGGGGAAACCAGGGTCAAGCTTGGGGTGTGGCACGCCACACCTGGGGGGTCGTATTGAGGAGTCAAGAAGGGAGGGGGTCGTAGTTGGGTAATCTGATAATAGTGATAATATGATATTCGTATCATATCCATAATGAGCATGTCTAACCCCTGTAGACAAAGTTTGAGCGAATTCTGAAGATTCAAGATACTAGGCTACCTAAGTGAAATGGTCATATTCCAACATGGTTAACTTTGTTTCAAAGGTGAATTAGCCATTTGTTTTTGCACTCAAGACAAAGCACTACTCCTTCTTTGTCCATCTCAGAAATCGCGCTTCGAAAAACCTCCAAACTGTGGAAATAAAAACCAACCAAAATCTCATTTTTCCCATTTTTCGCTTCTAATGGCTGCGCTCACCAAATATTACTCAGAGCTAAGAAGACGAATCAAGCTTAAAACATTCCTATGAAATCTACGAGGTTTAGGCTATCGATCCATATAAATATGGTTCGCTAAAAATGTTTTTTTTATATAGTTAACGGGGTGTGGCACACCCCCTTAAAGGCAGCGTCCCACCAGACTGGGGGTACCTGGCTCTCGCAATGATGTAATAGTAGACCCCCTACCTAAGCGATGACTGAAGTTCGGAGCGAAAAAGGGGGTCCACCAAGCCTGAAATTTGCTCCGAAAGTGGGCCGAATCTACGGTAGGGCCGGACGGCTTGCACGTCAGGAGGTACGCCGCTCGCGGCGGCCGCTCTTCCGCACCCGCCGCGTTCAAATCTTGGGGCCTCCAAAACTCTCCGTCAATAAAGACTCCCGGCAGCAAAAACAGGGGGTGAGTGTGGGGGCAGATACGTGACTTAATGGTACAACTAGGGCTGCGCCAGGAGTGCTAGTGTTGTAAGGGCTGAAGTACGTTGCGGCGTCGCTTCGCAAAAAATTCGCGCCGACCGTACCTCCTGACCGTCCCCCGGCCGAACGCCGCCCACACGGCAATATCGATTTGCAGGGCCAGAGTGAGTATAGCGCACATATCATGAGCGCAGGGACCCGCAACCACTCTGCGTCTCTACCTTGCATGCACCTCGCACTCGCCCGATCCTACCGTAAGATTCGGCCTACTTTTGGAGCAAATTTCAGGCTTTGTAGACCCCCTTTTTCGCTCCGAACTTCAGTCATCGCTTACGTAGGGGGTCTACTATTACATCATTACGAGAGCCAGATACCCCCCGTCGGGTGGGACACTGCCTTCAAAAGGTGTGGCAGCCACAGCTTTTCAGGGGGTGTGCAACACCCCATTAACTATGTCATAAAAACATTAGCAAACCGTATCTATGGATCGATAGCCTAAATCTTCTCTCACAGGAGTGATTTGAGCCTGTTTCGTTTTCCTTGCTCTGAGTATTAGTTGGTGAAAGCACAGCCATCAAAAGCGAAAATGGAAAAATGAGATTTTGGTTGGCTTCTAATTCCACAGTTTGAAGGTCTTTTGAAGCGGGATTTCTGAGATGGACAAAGGATTAGTGCTTTGTTCTTTTTTTCTTGCAAAAATGGATAACTAATTCACCTTTGAAACAAAGTTAATCATAATGGAAAATGACCATTTCACTTACGTAGCCTAGTATCCTGAATCTTCAGAATCCACTCAAACTTTGTCTACAGGGTTAGACATGCTCATTATGGATATGTTGCCCATTAGCTTTGATAGGGCCTTCAGGTAATGCTATCTTAGGTATATAATTCAGGGGGAGGGGTCTTATTAAGACAGCAATCAAGGGGCGGGGGGAGGGGGTGAGATCGCAACCAGCGGTCGTGTGCCACACCCCTTGCTGGACCCTGGGGTAAACTGACGAGGGAAGTTTGATCGAAGTGGCGTTTTTGAATGAGAGTTATACCGCTTTGAGGAGCATTGTGCGGTGGTTTCATATCTGCCTTCATTATCCGCCAAGCGCCTCTAAACGCCGAGTTATGACAGTTTTTTGGTACAAAAAATGAATACAGGATTAAAACAAAATCCATTGTTAAAGTCTTTCAGCGCTCAGATAAAGCATTGTTGAGTATTAGCATATTAGACGAAGTATATCTATTGCATGAACTGCTCTGATACCCGACTCCGGACCATTTGAGCAAATTCGGGCGAGTTTGTCTCAGTTTTGCGTTAAATTTTTTGACACGAAAAACACCCACAACTCGGCGTTCAAAGGCGCTTTGCAGATAATGAAGGCAGATTCGGAATCCCTGTGCAATACTTTTTAAAGCAGTATAAGTCCCATTTGAAAAGGCCACTTTGACTAGACGCACTTCCCTTGTGAGTTGCGCCCCTTGCAAGACGTATTGAGGCACACAGCCATCTAGTTATAGGCTACTGCATGACGAAGGCGCAGTGTTCCTGATCCCAGGAACCCCTTCCCCGCGCCATGTGTTGTACCGCATAATACTCGCCATATGTTATCGCATAATAGCCTTTGTGGCCATCATCTTCGGAACAACCCCGAAGACGGCACTCACTTTTGTGTTGGTCCGGCACCCAGCCGGCCTTTATGTTGCGAGATAACGATAAAGATTAAAATTTTACTGAATCATCTTGTAGCCACCACAAATTGGTGCATCGACTAAAAGAAATAGCCGATGGAAGTCCAGGCCACCCTAACCTGGCATAAAAAGTCCAGCAAACCCCCGCTGGCCCCCAGGTCCAGAACACACTCCTGGAACACCAAAAAAAGCAAAATCACTAGCGCAAAAACAGAAGAATGGCGCTATTTTTCTTCAAAAGACCAATTGCAGAAAGTGCGAAAACTTTGCAAATGCTACTGCAAAAATTCGCACCATACAAAGAGGAACTAATCCTTCAAGAATCATATGATGAAAACTATGAGACGTGCCTAGGATCGATAAACCTGATAACCGGCAGCATGCAATCTATCCAACAAAGTAAAGATTCTCTTCAAGTCCTCCTCGACAAACTTCAAAACAAGTGGGAGGACAGCAAGACAAGACTAAATAAAAAAGAAATGGAAAAAGAACTTGAAGAACTAGAAAAAGAATCGAAATGCATGGAAAACATAGCAGAAGCAAATGAAATGATTCTGATATTAGGAACCAGACTTACCGAAGCACGAAATCAGCAGAACGGCTGTCGCGTAAATTAGGCACAACGTTACACAAAACATTCCACCCAAATATCACAGAAACAAGCTACGGGAGCAACATTGTCGAAAACAGCGACGAAGTGATCAATCCAAACGATGCAGCCTGGCTATCAGAAGATAGCTCCGACGGCACCAGAGTTCCAGAAAGCAGCAGAGCTGTAGTGGAAGAAGAAAGCAGCAGAGCTGTGGTGGAAGAGAATGTCACATGTAGAACATTGAAACCGAGTGCAATGCAACTACCAAGATTTTGGGGAGACGAAGAAGAGTTCCCAGAATTCTGGGCGGTGTACGAGACCCTTGTTCACCAAAGTAAGGTACCAAGCACGGTAGAAAAGATACTTCTCTTGAGATACAGCCTCAAGGGAAGTGCAGAGATGGCCGTTAAGGGAATCTAACTGATTCCACAGAACTACACATGGATAGTAGAAACGCCCAAGAAAAAATACAGCAATAAACCGGTGAATAGAGCAGAAATCGTCCAAAAACTTATCAATCTCCCGCCTGCAAAAAACACAGCGGACGGTTGCGCACATACATTCGATAAAATTCGCATGCTGATCAACCAAATGGTATCAGCAGGACAAGACATTCCCAAACTGACAGATGCAATGTGGACAGAAAAAATTCTGGAGAAATTCCCATACAGCATAGTAAAAAATGTGCTCCTAGCTCTGCAAGGAATGGAAGAAGTAAAGGTCGAAGAGGATTCGAAGAGGTCCTTGATCAAATCGAAAACGAGATCAACGCCAAAAAATATGTGGAATCCCGGCTACAGTTTCACTCCAAAAGCGAACATCAAGAAAATAAAAGACATCAAGCCACAGACAGAGGGAACTACCCAAAAGACGAGAAAAATGCATCTTCTGCGCTAGTGCGGACCATTTTTCCGCAAACTGCCGTGCAATCACGGACGTAACACAAAAGAGAAAAGTAATTACGGATACAAAACGCTGCTGGAATTGCTTTTCTAACCAACACAGAAGCAATCAGTGCAACAAGCCTGGTTGCCCCATATGTGGGTGAATGCACCATTCCACCTTGTGCTTTCCAAACACGAAAAGACCAGGAAATACGGTAAATCAATAACTTCACGAGCGAATCGCTTCGCTAATCCACAAAGCAACAAAAGACCCTTCGCTGTGGAACCGAGAACAGGTCAAGGATTATGGCGCAATCGCACAGATCAAGAGGTTCCCAGGAATGAAATGAACAGTTTCCACAAGGAGGAAGTATCCAACACTTCACCACAGCATAGCACCACTAAGATTACAAAAAAAATCAAATAGTGCTTATGACCGCGGAAGCAAACTTGTGGAGTAACCGAACACTCGTACCTACTCAGATATTCGCAGTCAAGTCCCGCCGGTGAATAAGTTGTGTCCCGCCGGAATGACTGCGGGACACAGGTAAAATGGTTCGCGAGAAAACCGGGACTCCCGGTTTTCGTTCGGGCTAATGCGGCGCGGAACGCGGTTTTGTCCCGACATGTTTTCTACTGAGAAAACCGGGAGCTCCTGCGGGAGTCCCGATAATGTCGCGATTCGGTCACCGGCGGGACTCCCGCTCTAGA